CAGCGACAGGAACACCACCGGGATCGCATGGGTCTGATTTACAGGCAGGTTGCCCAAGCCATCAAGGCTAAGGGTGGCCGCCAAGCTTCTGCCCTCGGCTTCCAGTGGGGTTCGTAAGTGGTGGTCCCGCACAAATCGGACCAAATCAAGAGCCCAAAGGGCCGATCGGGTCCCAGGACGCACAGGGCAGTCCTCAGACTCTGCACGCCCCAGGTTTGAGCTTCGGGTGGCTGAGCCTTTATCCCAAGGCAAGTGGAGAGCCTGTGGATGACGGGAAGAGTGGTGGCCAGTCCCTACGAGGTGAGAGATAGGGCCGGCATAGATACTGAGCCAGAGACCCAGCTGCGGTGATCCCAATCTGGCTTCTCTCTCTCGTGGGCCCCCACGAGGCCACAGGTCACTGCACGTGGGCACTCACCAACCAGAACATGCTTCACACACAGTATGTATAGCAACTACAGATGCAAAAATAAGTACTAAACACCGGCAATCGCTGGTTTTTTAAGAGCCAGACAGGGACCCCTAACCAACAGCCAGGCAGACAACCTGATGAATGCCAACCTGTGCCAATGACAACAATAACCGAGTGCTCCGGCCCTGCACGCACGTGGGAAGCAACTCTGAAGCGCAAGCGTCGCTTCCCCACCCGGAGAGCTCGCTCAGCACGTTGGGCGGCCTCTGGCGGGCCCACACAAAAGGAGTCCACGACTCCACAAACTCATCTCTACACAACTCGTGGCTAAATGGATACAGGCACTGCATACTACGCCACACAGAAAGAAAAAAAGATAGAAAAAAAAAAGTAACAAATGAAGTTGGGCTGGCAAAATAGCTTACTGCTTAAGAGGCACTTGCCGCAAAATCTCAAAGACCTGACTTCAGTCCCCGGGTAAGGAGAAAACAGATTCCTAAAGTTGTCCTCTGACCTTACAGATGAACAAATGAACGTAAAAGTGAAATTTTTAAAAAGGGAAACCCAGGAGCTTGGAGTCTTTATTTCACGACTTGGGGAGCATTCGTCCCCGGATTCGAACCTCCCTAATAAAAACAAACACAAAAAACGGAACAAGAAAGAAAGGGAATCTACTGTTTTGGGAATCCGGACACGCACAGAGAAGGAAGAGGTCGACAGGACCTGCCTCTCTGAGCAAACCTCAACAGGGGGTGATACAAGTCTGCAAAGGGGGGCCCTGGCCGCGCTCCACGCGCACTCACCTCGTCGTCGTGGTGCTGGCAGAAGCCCAGGCGCTCCGGGAACACCGAGAGGATGGAGAAGGGCGCGCCGGCGAAGGGCGGCCCGAGCCCGAGCTGCTGCGCCGCGGAGGCGGCCGCGGGCCCCGGCGGGCCGCGCTCGATGTAGTGGTCCTTCGTGAGGCGCACGCGCTGGTGCGCGCGGACACAGTTGTCGCACAGGTGCTCCTGGCAGTCGAGGCAGCGCGACGAGGCGGCGTTGCCCTCGTCGCACG